GTTCACGTCCTCACCCTTCAGAGCAGAAGTGTAGAGGCTTATCGGTGCGATGTGGGCCACCATTGCAACATCGCAATTGGCACGTACAGTAGGGATGTATCTGATAAGATATCAATGTCAAATGAAAAATATCCGCCGAAAGTCAATATGATATTGCCACGAATACACTTCATACAGAAACGAGTACGAGCATTCTTTTCAATATACTGTATATCAATGGCGTAAAGTGGAAACCATTTTTTAAGGTGTTCCCTTTCTTCAACCCCAACCCTTTCTGCCTCATCCTCGCCTCCTTTTCCCGACTCCCCCTTCTCTACGGACTCACTAACGCACTGTGTCGAGTTTCACGAAACATTTCGGTGCCGACGAGGAACATTTGGCCTATCTAGAGTTTCTCAAACCCTTTCGATTAGTTCTGAGGAGTGAATGCCTACATGAAGTATGAAATACAACTTGGGCACCATCCTGTTAAGGAATATCCGAATGAGATATCTCCTTATCCCAAGCAAATCGATCGCCAACTGCTAACCAGCGTTTCGATCTCGGCTCATCTCATGAACTCGGCACAAAATTGTCTCATACATAAAAAACAATATCTAGACTTCGATACTAAGGTAGAAAAGTCATGAATCTGACATAACTACGGCACGATATCCGGCAGCACTTGAGGACGGGACCGGAGTCATCACTCTAAGCCCAAATGAACAACAGTTGATTTCATATTTTTGACCAAATGGTGGACTGCAAGCAACATAAAAGACATTTCTCATCACCTACAAGGCAATATATTTCGTTTGGTTGATCTCTTTCCTCCAAAAACTCTCCTAGAGTGACTATCTAGGGGGGGGGGGGATACCGAAATGAATTTCGCGTCTTCAAAAAACAAGATTCAGTGTTCTCCACGATCCCGGGGAGATGGGTGCTTCCAATTTTGCTGTAGCGATTATGTGATGAGAGGGAAAAACTTTCTCAATTTCATTCTTCTTGATGCCCTTAGAGAGGAATACGAGGAGGTTCAATTTTTTTGCGGAAAGGGATTGAAAAAAGGTAATAGGTGCTACGCAAGCCCATTGATGAGGCGTTGGCCAGAAGTCTTCATCACGAATTCTACTTCCTGCAATCTGCATTTCTTTTTGCCCCAGAGTCTTACGCGAAACTGTCTCTTCGTTCCTCTGTCTAGACTCGGAGAAGTTGAAACTGAGACACAATGGTCTATATTCATTCCCCTCTCTTCCCATCTTCCCTTATTTTATGAACCTCGGCGTGGTTCTTTAGGCATGTGGCTTCCCTTCTTCTTTCGTATGGGTATAGCGACTATTAGAAATTGATGTTAATCTTTGAAGTCCAGTCGATAGTTTTTAGTGATGCTGCGTGTATATCCTTGATGCTGCCGGGATATGAGTACAATGTGCACTCGTTGATGACGTGCTCCATAGTTTGGATTTGAGTGCCGCATTCGCACGTTGGCGATTGTTTAATACGCCATTTGTGCATCAGGTGTCCGGAACGACCATGAAGAGTCCGGAAGCGATTTAAGGTCACCCATTCGCGGCGTGGGAGTGTGACACCTGGTACCTCAGCTGATGGATCGTCGATGAGGTTCTTATTTTTCACGTCCACGCGAGATCAAGCTTCTCGCCAGTGTTATTCCGTATACGACCCCAGGTCGTGCAGGATTCTCGCGGCAGTCCAGAAAGGACGTCTTAATTTTAGGCGAGACGGGATGGTCTCATCGATGTCGCGATGAATCGGGAGGGACGGGTTGGCAATAATCTTGTTGTACTCGTATACAGTCGCCATGTCTCGCTGGATTTCGTCAGGGGGAATATGCGCGAGCACTGGGAGCCGTGGGAGCGGAGTCGACTTGAGGCATCCGGTTACCACTCGAAGAGCAGCGTTCAGCTGTGGGTCGATTGCGTCTGTGTGAGCGCTGCGGGCCCACACAGGAACGCAGTACTCCGCGGTCGAGTAGATCAAAGCGAGTGTTGCGGTTCGGAGGGTACGTGCGTCGGATCCCCATGTAGTGCTAGCGAGGCGCTGGATTAGGTTGACCCCCAAGGATAGCTTATTTCTGAGTTTCTTCAGGTGTTGCTGAAACGTCAGGCTCCTATCCATTGTTATTCTCAGATAGCGGGGGTTTGGATCGTGCTGGACGCTTTGACCGCAGAACTGTGTCTTCAGAGTTCTGTTGTCGGCGGAGTTTTGGAGGTGGAATGCTGTAACTGCGGTCTTTTGTGGGTTGGGACAGAGACGCCATTGACGGAAGTAATCTTCCATCTTCATTAGGTCGTTATTTAGAGTGGCTTCCGTTTCCTGAGTGCGAGCCTGCACTAGGTCGTCGGCATACGCAAATTTGCGGGACGTGGTCGCGGGCATATCACTGATGTAGAGGTTGAACAGGGCAAGTGCTAGTACGGAGCCCTGAGGGAGACCATTCTGTAGCATGCGTTCGCGGCAGGTTTTGTTGCCAAGGTGCACGCGGAACTTTCGGTCGGTGAGCATCGCTTTAATGAGACGCACCGTTGGGGCACATCTAAGAATTACTGCTTGGGTGGGTGAGAGGGGTGGGGGAAATGAGGGTCGTGATTGATCTTGCGTATCTGATCTTGGGGAACGAGTCCCTGGGTTCTTTCACGACTCCAGTCTCCCGTTCCATCTGTTTTTATTATTTGTTCGGGGGGAGAGCATGCAAAAAAAATATTTGATTAGGGGAGTGAAGAAGGGGGGGGGGGGCGTGGAGTGTCACGAGTTTCAGTCGGTGGAATACCTTCTACGGAATTTTCACGACGCCTAGAGGTGTGGACACGTGGGATGAGACGTTTCTCGTTTTCCGACGCAGGGACGTACCAGGCGTTCACGGTGTTCTTGATCGACAAGCGGAAGGAGAAGTCGCCGCTGTACCAAGTGTGCACGACGTTCTCGGGGACCTTCCCCTCGGACAAGTCGATGTTAAGATGCAATCGGAGGCTTGGGACGCCGGGGCAGTTCGTCTACATCAGGGACGACCGGCAGACGCAAGAGTACCTGGGGCTCTGCGAGGTCCAGGTCTTCGCCTCTCGAGGTCTGTTGCCTTCCGGGGAGGGAATGGCCGTGACTTTTTATTTATCGGAACCGTTGCTGAAGAGACTGATGTGACAGGGTGGTCCGAAAAGAGAGAACTAGAAACTAGAGAAGTGCGATGCATCAGCTCCTTGGAATAGTCAGTGAAAAGAAATGCTCAATATCTCCGCTGTTTCGAACACTTTCTGTCACCGATCAATTGCCCTGTCCAAAAATCTATAAATAATAAATTACAAATCCAGTGGTTCAGGTCCAGTGGAATGGCAGGTCTGTACCCGGACTGGTACTCTCTACTTTTTTTTTCTTTCTCTCGATCGGAATCCGATATTTTGTGCAGATGTGAGTGAATGAGCGTCTCAGACACGGGAGATGTTTTCGAATCGGTTTGGAAGATACCCGTGTCCTTTAATGAGTTCTAAATTCCCAGATCGGATAAAGAGGTTAATTGTGAGTTTTCTCTTTGTGATGCTGCTTCAGGTGCCAAAGGAAGCAATGAGTTAATACCCGAGTCTCTCTCGAAAAAAAATATGTTTTTCATCTCGTTTATCGAAGTATCTTCTTTTTAGTCTTCTATTCGTAGAAGAGTGGAAAGGGGGCCCTTACGTGAATATTGCCCCAGACCTCGCAATTCATTTTGGCAACCCCATGTCACACGCTTCGCCTAGGCCAGAAATGTCAAACTTGACTAAGCTGGCGGACAGATGGAATCCTTCAGGTGCGGTTGATCCCACAATCGCACATCTTGCACCAAAATTTCAATTGCCAACAGGTTGAAATAGTCTACTCTGTTTAAAAACCAACTGTCGAAGAGTACTTTGCAGGCCGTGCGAAATCAAATAGTTGGCCGGCAGTTTGACACCCATGGCCTAGACCGACCCGAAGTTCGTGTATATCTTCCACGGGTTATTCTCGAGAACGGGATGGGCGATTGTAGTCGATAGGATAAAGTGCCGATCGATAAAAGGGCTCGGGTTTCCGTTAAATGGAAGGGCGAAGATCTCACCGCGGCGAGGAAATTTCCTTAATAAACCAGGGAGTTCTTGCCCAAGAGTTCGTGGAAGTGTTGCACGGGTCGGTTAGTGTACAGAAGTGCCTTGAGCAGTAGGGTTTTTCAAGGAGGTCTTCATTCAATCTTTGTCCCACAAATGCAAAATATATGAATGATATGGACAAGTCCCTCAACAAACTGGATAGGACGGGCAAAGTATTAAGCTAACTTCTTTTTCACTAGTTATTATCATCACTAGTCATTGCTATTATATAGGTGAACACAGAAAATTTGACTTGTACCAAAATCTCCAGGACATAGCCTTTTATTGATTTTTTCAGTTTCTTCGATGCGATACCACCGATTTTGGGGGATGAACTTTCGAAAAACCTTTACCTTAAGTGCTCTCCAAACTGCATAAACATGAATGTTTCCCCTGGGTTCATTAGTCTTCCCACAAGATGGCGTCACATACCGTAGGTCTCATATAAATGTTGCCGTATTGCCTCTGGATATACCTGACGTGAGTGCGATATGTGACATTGAATTGGCCTTTTTGATTTGGCAGTTTGGCTCGCGGAGCACTAGCAAGAAACTCCTGGTGCTATTTCCCAGTTATTTTTAGACTCGTTCATTGACCAGTGGCGGTCGCGTTAGGCGACGATTGTCCCAGACGGTGGAGGTGATGTTGGAAGATTTTTATCGCTGACTTTGCCAAAGAGCCGGAGTATTCAAATGCATTGCTCTTCAATGGATTCAAGGTCTCTCATGTCGTGAATAAATTATGGAAGAGCCATAGTTTTGCCCACCCTGCTGTTTCTTAGAATGTTAAAATGTAAAAAAATTGTAACGTTACGTTAGATCGAAACGATAACATTCCTGTACGTCCACCTGAAAAAAAATTAACTCCCTACATTCTTTCTATCTAATGTAGTAGAATTTCGAGGAAGAAATGAGTTTTTGCTGTACCCACAGACTGGATGCCATGTGGAGAACCCGAGCAGCCGATATACAGCAGCGTGAGCCGGACGGAGAACCAAGCTCATTATTCCTGCCTCCCCGGCTTCACCTTGAAGGGAGAGACGGTGTTGAACTGCCTGGCTGACGGGCAATGGTCATCCTCGCCTCCGACGTGTGTCGGTCTGTCCAATCGCTTATTGAAGGGGTGTTGATGGGGCGTGGTTGGGGGGGGGGGGGGAAGGAAAAAAGGCATCCGTCTATGGAATCTCTATTGCGATTCACTTTTCGCTCTCTTGCGAATTAACCGCTGATGCATTTCGGTCGCTTGAGAAGGCGTCCATAGGTCGATGGGCGTACGGAACGGTATTGAATTCATGGAGAAAACGGAAGGGAAGACGTGGAGCGGAAAATGCGAGAAATGTACAGATTCATGTCATTCAGACCGTATGACGCAGAGAATGAATTTCATCGGACTGGAATACGATTCGGTACGGATTCTATATTGCAGAGCAAGAGTGCGAGGCGCCGGTGCAGATCGCGAATGGGTTCTTGCTCTTCCCCGGCTTCAGAAGCAGATACGTGTTTGGACTTCGGGCCATCTACAAGTGTAACTCTGGGTTTCTTCTCTTCGGAAATGCCACAATGACCTGCGGTCCTGTTGGGGTCTGGTCCGGGTCTGTGCCGCAATGCAAGAGTGCGTATTTCATTCGTTTCCCAGTTTTTAATTTTGATATGAGTTTTGTCCCATTATTAGTGCACGGTACTTTTTTTTATTACCATATTTCATATGTTGTTAATTATTGTAGAGGTGCAGTGTCCGGCTCCACCGTCATTCGCGAATGCGAGATCGATCCTTCCCAACGGATCCGAATGGGAGGCCGTTGCTGTTTATCGATGTGATCCTGGATTCATCATGCCGGATGGTGCGTTTCTCACTTCGGCCTCTTAGTCCAAGTGCATTAATTTCTCGAGTACTCTACTGACCGACACATGAACGTTGAAGGCGGAAGGGAGTTGAGGACCCGATGCATCGACTCGGGGAAGTGGGAGTCGGTTGTGGTGGACTGCATGAACGAGACAAGGGAGGACCGAGGATGGAGTCTGGAGACGGAGGTGCGCCGTACGAATGACGAACACGAGGGTGCAAAGGAGGTGAAGGAAGGGGAAGCGAAGGAAAGAGAGGGGAATGTGACGGGGGTACTGAAGGAGGCGTCGAAGGTGGAGGTCATCGTGGGGATCACCGCCACGACCGTCGTGCTGTGTCTCGTTCTGGCCATCATGGGATATCTCTTTCTCAAGCGCAGGTGATGTCTTGCCTCCGTTTCCGGAGTGGGGGGAGTGCTTCCTGGAATGAGCCCAGGAATACGACGACCGATGACGAATTGCTTTTGGAGATTAATCAGACACATGGGTTAGATTTCCAAAGTTCCTTCTGGGAAACGAGATTTTCATAATACGATGCATGTTCGGAAAAAGTCTCGTTTTCGCTATTCCAGTATAACATGAGTAGGGATGGATCGTTCTCCGCATACGATATGCAAAGTTTCCCTTGTTTTGCAGGCGTTCTCGAGGCGACGTGAAGGAGAGCGTGCTAAATCCGCGCTCCACCCCACCCTGCCCCTTCATAGAGGCCCGCGACCACTTCTACGACGAGGTCTACACCCTGTCGACCCGCAGCCATCTCTCCTCGGCCGCCGGCGAGGGCCAGACCCCAACGACAGGCGACTACGACTCCCTTGAGCCGATCTCCATGTACCACCCGATGGACTCTTCCATCTCGGACGGCTCGTCCTCCGTCAACGACAATCCCTCTCTCATCTACGACGTGCCGGGGAAGGGACAGTCGGATCGGGAACATCGATACCAGAATCTCCCTGTCCTGAAGCCCCTCCATACCCCCAAGGGCACTACGATGCCCGACATCTTGAAGGTGTCGACCAACGTCTCCGCGGACGTCTTCGCCCTCTACGCCAAGGTGAACAAGTCGAAGAAGACCAAGACGAAGAGATCGGAAGAGCCAAACGACTCACCCAAATCCTCTAGTCCCTCCCAATTCCACACGATCCCCGCTCACTCCCGTCCCAACTCGGACTACGAGACCCTGGACGAAGGCCATCAGAAGCAGGAACAGGACGTTATCTACGCCGAGATCGACGTCCCGACCAGTGAAATCGATCGCCAGCAGTCACACGAGGAACAAGATGGGCTAGCCCATTCCAGTATTGGACTTCCTTTTGTTTAAGAAGACCCTCATTTTGTCACCTACTTGAACAAAATACTGTCGCTTTCCGGTCTTCGCCCATCAAAAATCTCATTACTCAGTTAGATTTGGCAAACATACCCATGGTGCTCATGAAATAATGATGGGAAGATGGCGGATTGTGCGTGGTTCGATCCATCTGCCACGATGGCTAGAAGAGAACTGACAGCACTTGTTGGGGACACGGCTCTGCACCGAAGGCCTGGTCTTATATGCATGCCCATTATGGTTCATATTCTAAAGGGGTTTCGAGAACTCATGCCTTCCCACCCCCCCTCCTCCTCTCCGCGAACAAGTTTCAAATCCAAAATTCGCGATAAAAGTAACAGTTTTGGGGCGAATTAGCCACAAAGCAAACCTAGTCGGTATCTTGTTCATTTCAACTTGCTTGCCGATTTTCGCATTGATCAGGCTAATATTTTTTTAGTTGTCGTCGGACACACAAAGTGTGAAATACGGACGAAACCATGCGTGGTCTTCTACCTTGCAGGAAAGGAAGTCCAATGCATGGTACTCTCGCCTTCAAAAACGACCATTTTAACGCTTTATGCTCTCATGCCTCCTCTCATTCTTTTCATTCATAACTCGTTTGGCAAGTCCAATCTTGAAGTGGGCCTTCCTATAAATAACTATGATGATCAAAAAGACTACGTGCGTAGTAGGTAGAGGTTGGATAATGAAAGTGTAATGTGTAGCATTCTTGACACAAGTTCATATAACAACCATTTCTACGCTGGCAAAGTTAAAAGTTAAAAGCTTCCCTTTCGTCTCGAAGTGAGTCCATCCCGTTTTTAGGCATTCCTAGGCCTTCCATTTGTAGGCCTTCTATTTCGCCATCGAAGGAAAGAGGACCATTGTTTTCGTCCCGGCTTGTGTAACACGATTCTGCATCGTCTCAGCCTGTCCCTCGCCTCGGATCGGATGGGGAACCGAAGGGGCCGAAAGGGCCGAGGGGCCGACAACTAGGAATTCCGAGCCACACGTGGAACCAATTCGCGCCATCGTCGACGAAAGAAGCCGGTCTCGATTCGTGACAGGAGGCGAACGAGGCCCCCTCCACCCAGAATGACCGACGCCCAGGGATGACAGGGATTTGAGGCCGTAGATTCTCCGAGACCGAATTCCTTCTTCCCGTGTTCACGAGAGGTACTGGTGGTGGGAACAGGTTTTCAGACAGGTCGTTTAGACCGCAGTCCCAGCTGGATTGCATGCCGGGACACAGTCCTCAAAGAAGTTCTTTGACCCGTCCTCAGCCACCATCACGCAACTAACCGACCTCGATCGAACTGGCAGAGTTGGCGAAACTACCTTTGTGAACGTCGTCCAGGCATGGGTGTAAAGACCAAAAATAAACGATTGAAGCGAAGCAGAGTGGATGGAGGGAAGCAGGGAAGGAAACTGGCTTGATCAGTGTAGTCGCCCTTTTCCCCATCCCTCGGGGCGTTCGGCTAGCTAGGCAAGTTTTCCCTGCATCACTTCATCCTATGACCTATAATGTTTCGCATTTCATTAAGAATCTCTTTTTAGATGTTTTTCGTGGGCGATAAGTACGACCCTTCCGACCCTATTCCACTCTTAATATCAAATGAACAATCTGGCTTCTTGAAGGGTCGCTTCATGGCAGAAAACATACGAATCTTGTATGATACAATGCACCAATGCGACTTAGAAGAGATAGAAGGTCTCGTGATAGCAGTGGACTTCCAGAAAGCGTTTGATACCCTCGAATGGGATTTTATCAAAGAAAATTTAATCAAGATGAATTTTGGCCCCTCCTTCAGGAGGCGGATTGACACATGCTACTCAAAGTCAGTCTCAGTGGCGTATTTTAACGGAAAATGGTCCGAACAGATAGAACTTGGGAGAGGATGTAGACAAGGAGACCCACTATCTCCATACCTATTCATAATGGCAACAGAAGTGTTAACGAGGATGGTAAATTAAGACAAGAATATTCAAGGTATCGAAATCTTTGGTCGCAAAGTTCTTATTTCTCAATATGCCGACGACGCGTTAATGTTTTTACAAGGCAAGACGCAAGTTCTAGATGTTGTTCGCGCAACATTGGAGGCATTTTACGAGATCTCAGGACTAAAATTCAATTATTCAAAAACATAAGTAATGAGAATTGGAGCTAGCACGGACAAAATAGACACACCCACTTTGGGATTTGGAGTGGAAAGAAAGCTTAAAATATCTTGGAATTGTCTTCCCAAGTAAATTAGAAGAATTTGAACAGAACCTCACCCCCTTAACCTTAGCACAGTAGTAAGCGAAATAGAAAAAGTCTTGAATCTCTGATCATAATTATTGAAAACATCTCCTTAATTAAAATTAATGGAAGGGCTTGACTATATGGAAAAATTACAAACTTTGTAGGGGGGGGGGGAACCGTTCCATATCAAGGAATTAAGCCAAGGAGTCAGGTTCGTAAACGACCTTTTGGATCAGGAAGGAAATACTCTCCCTTGGAGAGACTTTTAAAAAATTTAGGGGGCAAAAGGAAATTGGTTACTTTATTACGACGTTCTAAAATCATTTCCAAGCCCTCCAAGACCCAGTAATCGATCCTCAGAAACGGAAAGACTAATGTAACCTTTACTCCCGTATCCTATAGAGATCCTGAGAACGAAGGAAAAATGCAATCGCTTAGTTTATGATGGCTTTCTGAGCGTGCAATAGAGAACACAGCAAAGAAATGGGAAAAGTGTCTAGACACCAAATTTGACAATAATACATGGTTCAATTTTCATAAAAGACTGTTTTCTATATCATCTACAAAATTTCGCTCCTTTTAATACAAAATTATACATAGAATACTCGTGAAAATCTCTTGGCTTATGAAGATGAAAAAAATTGAGCATGATACCTGCTCATTTTGTAAAAGACACCCTGAAACCATAAAAATAATTTTTTTTTACGATTGTGTACTAGTGAAACAGCAATGGTCACTTTTATCAAACTCGTCTGAAAACTGCCTTTCAAGAAACCTGAATGCGATTGAGTGGATTTTTTGAATGTGATGAGGGCCCAGGAGCACGAAACAATAAACATAGTGCTTTTCAAATACTATATCTATAATTTTAGAGATGAAAAAAAAATCCCATCAACATTGACCCCTTTTTTTTACAAGCTGAAGGACTCGTATGAACAAGAAAAGCTACTGGCGCAACGCCAAGGTCAGACGGAAAAGTTTTTTTGTTTAATATTGGATACCCTTAAACGCATTAGTTGAAAGAAAAAAATCCACAAGGTTTTTTTTATTGAACAAGATGATGTTGCAAATTGAGCGGATTTTTTCAGCAAGTTCTTTTTTTTCTCACTTCTCCCCTCCCCCCATCCTTTCTTCTCCGTGTCTCTCACATATTTCTCATGTTTTCACTTCCTTATTGTCACTATTCATATGAATGTGTAATACCTCATGAAAATCCATGAAAAAAAATCCCCATCCTCTTCACCGATGACGGGGATTTCTCTATCCACGGGAAACGGCTGAGGAGAGTCCCCATACCTTCCGACACCCCGCACCTCCTAATTCACCATGCCATATCCTTCAAGGGCATGGAGGCCCCATCGTATTCTTCATCACCAATGAACGAGCGAAGAAGAGGGAAAGCATCTACATGGGAGCATCTCGAAGCACTTCCCACCTCATTCAACTCGTCATGGAGACCACTCGACAAGAGGAAGTGCTCCGATGAGGGTGGAAGAAAAGAATGCCCTCAAATAGTTGCCAGCTGATTCGTGTAAGAAAAGGAAAACTTCATAAGACAACGGCGCGAAATGCAATTCATGTAGGCAAAATACGGAAGAGAAATGAACGTTTCTGGTAGGAAAAGATGACATGGATGCCTTATTTATTTTCGCTTCTGCTATTAAAAGACTCAGAATAATGTTAAAGATCAAAATTCCGAAGTGGAATCCGGTTTGTCTCGAGCCGGATTTTCCGAGTGTTTCCGCAATCATCCGAGATTCTCGTCCCGTCTCTCGAGAAGCATTCCCCAAATCCCATGGGATTTCCCCCCAGACTTTCTCCGGCATCTGTACATAGAAAATATCAATAAATATTGTTTGAGAATTTCAAATCGCAGTAAGCATTTTTCCCTCTATTTTTCTGTGTCTTAATACTTCACGAATCGGAGCAGTGGATCTCATTTCCCAAAGTTCACCGAGTAAAGCATTTCGTTGACAGACAAAGGGAGTTCGCGTCGGAAGAGAAAAGGAAATTTGAATCCCTTAAGTTCCTAGGTGTCTCTGAAAATGGAATTCGAAAGTTCAAAGAAATTGAAAGTGGAGTGATTGCCAATTAAAAAAATCGACTATTTTGGGGCACTTTCGGCACAGAGATCACAAAAAGTATAATAATCCCTTCTGTAATGAAGATAAAGACGGGAATAGGGTATTGACTGATGGGCTATGAGATGCTCTATCAGATGATGTTCACCATATGTTGATGAAGGCCATGACCTTGGCCTACATGCTTAATAATGACCTGGAGATTGCACCAAAAACTCTTCCACACTCGATTTCGATAATAATAAAAAACTTAGGGCATCATTATTCATGTCTTCATTTATGTACACTGCGAATATCATTTTGGGTATTGATTATCAACAGAGATAAGAACATTAAAGTGCGAGACCATCATATTGTACACTGGTACTGCACAATGCCAGAATCTCTCCCGATCGTTTCGAAATAATGGTATATCATCCCACAGAACACAACATGCATCGTGCCTTCAGAGCCTTAGCTTCCCATATTCTGCCAAGGAATGCACTTTCAGGAGTGAGTGCTTGGGTCGGTCGGACGCGAGGAAAGCATGCAATTTTTGAGTACCTGCCACTGGTACTGCCACGTTAAAACGCTATCGAAACATATGCGTGACCAGAAAATTCTTCCCTCGAGCAGAAGACCAAGTTAATTGCAGCAATATTGTCCGTTGCCCAAGTACACAGCTGAAGAGGGGATGTCTTCTGAGC